GGGGGTGCTCAGTCAAGTAGGGCTTAAAAAGCCACGGGAGGTGTTGGGGTGTCATTTGTCATCGCAGCCTGTTCCCCTGAGGAAATCACTGCTGCTGGACTCCGGGTTTGGAAAGAGACACCCCCGGGGCCCACGGAGTTTGCCCCTCAAGCCATGGCACCCCTCGGGAATCCCTGGAAAACCATCATCCTGGTGGGAAAGCCACATCCCAGTGGGAAAGCCACCATCCTGGTGGAAAAACCATCGCCCTGGTGGTAAAGCCACCCCCGTAGAAAAACCATCCCCCTGGGCACTCTCCCTGCCAACACCGGGCTCCAGCCCCATAGCATTTGGCACCCCAAAACCCCTCGGGGACCCCTCCGGCGGGGTCGGCCGTGCGTCCCGGTGCCCCCCACTGCATGCCTCCCCCCCCCCCCCCCTCCCACATCCGGGCCCCGCCCCCTGCCTTGGTTTGGCTCCACCGGCCACCCAAAGGCGGCCAGCGACGAGCCGCCGGCATGGGGCCCGCTGAGGAACTGGTCCGGATTGCCAAGAAACTGGATAAGATGGTGGCCAGGAAGAGCACGGTAAGGTGGCCGAGTCCCTCGGGGTGGGGGGGTGCGTGTGTTTGCACACGTGTGTGTGTGTTTGCACCCCTGCATATTTACACACATGTGCAGGCGTGTTTGGACGTTGCAACGCGGCTCGGGACAGGGGAGGGAGGGAAAGGGGGGGGGGGGGTGTGTTTGCTTTTCACCCCCCCACACCCCCTTCTTGTTGCTGGTGGTCCCTGGGGGGCTGAGCTGGTCTGGGGGGGTGGGCTGAGCACCCACAGGTGCCACCAGCACCCCGGGGTGCTCCCTGTGCCACCCCTTGGGACAGCACAGTTGGCACCCAGGTGTATTTTGCCTCCCATTTGGGGGGGTCTCCTGCACCCCATTGCTCCTGGTTGTTGAGATTTGGGGACAAGGTGGTGGTGGGAGGAGGTGGGGGGGGTGCTGTCCCAGGGGGCCACGGGCAAACGTGGGTGACAGGTGCTTGGCCACCAGCCCGGCCACCAACACCCGATCGGGGCCGGTGCCACGGGCTCAGCCCCGTGCAAGGGAAAACTCCC